GTGGTTAGAGCTGAGATACATCAAGAAGGAATTTCCCAGCCGGGATCTCCACCCCAGAATCAACACGCGCTCTGTTTTTCCTCCCCTTTTTTGGGGTTGTTTCTTATGTCAGATCTTAGCCTGCAAACCCCTCCGGCCAGAGACGGGCTTGTTTTTGTGTGTGCCTTTTAACATCTGTCACTCCGGTGTAGCAGCCAATGTGATAAACACCTCCAAGTGGTCGCATTTATTTGATTTATAAACGGATTTTCTAAACGGAGGGATTCAGGGGTGGGGAGACACGCTTTCTATCCCGCCTTTCCCCCGCAGAATTGAACACGAATTAAAGTGGAACAATTTAAAACACAATTTGAAGTCTGACTACCATGCTTTTACTGCCGCAGGGCTACATCATCATCATCTCAGAACTGCAGAACTGGAAGGCACCCTTCTGGATCATCACGTCCAGCCCCTGTCAAGGAGGCCCCGGGAGGGGGAGGGATTCGAACCCCCAACCTCTAGCTCCACAGTCGGAGACCTAAACCAGTGAGCCATCTAGCAGTTCTTTACGAAATAATATGTTAAACCAGTGAGCTATCTAGCAGTTCTTTACGAAATAATATGTTAGTTTTAGCATTGCTATATTGACAGCCCAACCGTGATCTTTATTTTTAATCATGGTTTGTTAGGACCGTAAAATTATCAGAGACAATGAAGCGACCTTTATTTATGTCCGGTCAAATGATGCCTCCCATCCCCACACATGCTGTTGAGTTGTGCGGACAGGGCATAAACACATATGGTAAGGCCTGATGGGACTTGTAGTCTATAGACCTCTAGGAGGGAGAGCCAAGCTGCCACAGCGAAGGACACACAACAGCCTTTGATTCGCCTACTTTGAAGAGTTGTTGTACGGAGCCCGGAGCCTTCCAAGGAGCGGAAGGGGGGGAGAAAAGTGGGGTGCCATTGACTGGAAGTGTCCTCTTACCTGCACATGACGCGGTGCCTGCGTGCCGGATCGGGGCGACACGTCCCTCGCATCTGACGCAAACGGGTTCAATGATTCAGGGGTTTTTCCAGGTCCTTCCCGGCTGTCCGAACAGGCTTTGAAAGATCCAGACGGTGATTCACCTCCCGAGGAAGGTGGGCAGCTGGAAGGGATGTGGAATATCCCGGAACGCTGTCCTCCAAAGAGCCAGGAAAAGAGGCAGAGGTCACTCACCAAATGCTTTTATTTTGCTTTTCTTCCTTACCTTTCTCTTCCAAATCGGTCCGGACGTGCAGCTGCTCTCCTTTTGATCCTTTTTTTCATTGACTCCAGGAATTAGCCCTCCAGATCTTGGTAGACAACAACTCCCAGCATCCGCACCTAGTGACCGAGCTGGCTGGGAATTTTGGGGTGTGTAGTCCAAGTTCTGAAGGCCCAAAGGTGGGGACTGCTGAGCTGAGAAGCGTATGGACACGGTGGTATGGTGATGAGGAGTCAGAGAGCAAGCCAAGCCACTGATTTGCCTTTTACAGTTTGCAGTAAAACCTGGAGTGGACTCAACGCCCCCGTGACCCTGGAGTCACCAGCTTCCAACCCCCATAAAAACTGATCTGGCTTAACCTACCATAGCAGGGAGGACGCAGGGTGTATTGTGTGTGTGTAAAGCGGACCTGAACGCACTTTGATGGAGTGTAGGTATGTGTGTGTGCGTTTTTAAGGAGAGAAGTCCGAATGTAAGAAGAAGCACTTATTTTCACCACCGTTCAAAGTCCAGGAACTCCCAACACCTTGATGTGCTCCAGCAGCAATTAATCTTTGTGGGTCAAGGTGAGCCTTTGTCCAGATAAAACAGACACCGAAGAGATCTGAAGCCAGCAGCATGCTGTTTTGCTACGTTCACTTCTCCAAACTTCAGGAATTAACTGTCCAGAAGGAAGATTTACAGCTGCTCTCTTCTTCTGCAGCCCCTGGGAGACACCGGGCACAATTCAGCGACCGACTGCTTTGCCTGCGCGCCACTTTCCCCTCGCCGCTGGCGATCAGCCTCATGCTTCACCCCCCGCAAAGCATCTGGATAATTTTTTAAAACTTGTATGGATGGAACATTTTCTGGCCCCACAGAGAATTCCAATGCCATGGGAGTTAAGGTTAGGGTTTGATTTACACTCCTGTTTCTTGGCCCCACTAAAAGTGTGCCTTCAACACGGCCAACGTACTGAGGAGTATGGAATTCCTGATTTTGGGCATTGTGGCTCACCAAAATAAGACCAGGATTCTGCTCCTTCTCCTCCCCCCCCCAATACGTTACCCAGAATGGGATAAAAAAAAATCAAACAGGGAAAAAATTGATTTCTTCAAAATGTAGTGCTGGAGGAGATCGCTTTGCAGATACCCTAGACAGCCAGAAAAACAAACAAGTGGGTCCCAGATCAAATCAAGCCTCTCTGGAGGCAAAAATGTTGAAACGGAGGCTGTCTTACTTTGGGTGTGTCCCGAGAAGGCAGGATTCGCTGGGGGAAAAAAACCACAATGTTTGGAAAGGTGGAAGGCAGCAGGACAAGAGGAAGACCAAGCATGAGATGGACGGACTCCCTCAAGGAAGCCCCAGGCTTCAGTTTGCAAGAGATGAGCAGGGCTGTGGAGGACAGGGCATTTTGGAGAGGGCTCATTCCTGGGGTCACTGTAAGCCGGAAGGGACTTGGACAGCATGTAACAACAACATGTTACAAGTAACTAACTGGTTTGGAAATAATACACGAAATTTAGCTTGCTGCTGCTAAAACTGTCACTCTTGTGCTAAAATAGAAGTGAGGCATCATCTTAAAAAAAAGAGAGGGGCATCTTAGAGGTGGCATTAAAAGGTTCCCTCGTGCTTTAGATCCATCCATTGAATCGCCTTTCTGCTAACCAAATACTGTAGTACTTTTAACAGAAACGAGTTAAATCTAACGTGCAACGCTTTTAACACAAATGAGTGAAATCTAACGCGTTATTTCCAAGCTACTGGTTGGGACCTAGGTTCTCCCTGTCCCCGGCATTTCTTAAAGGTAATTTGCTCATGGCTGAGACTGAGAGACACCCATTTACAATGGCTCTCGGTAACCGTATCACAGGATGCTGAAATGTGGCATTAGTTTTGGGTGGATTCTGCAGCAAAACAGAACCTGGAGTGACGAGATGGTTTGTGGATGTATTTCTCTTGCTGCATTTTTAAATGTATGTTTAAAAGGAAAGTTTTAGCATTATTCAGAAGCTTTTTTAACCTAGATCAGTGGCTGCTCTAAAGCAACATTTCAAATATTTTCAGTGATCCATTGGGTTTCTTTCAACTCTGCAGTTCTATATTATTATTATTATTATTATTATTATTATTATTATTATTATTATTATTATTATTATTATTATTATTGTTGTTGTTGTT